CATTTGACCTCGAATAATTTTTTTTCCAGGCATCGCAATCATTCGGAATTTTAAAATCTCATTTTTAACTATGTTTTGAACAATTACACGCGTTAGCAGATTGTTGTAAATTTATGTACCGTCCAATGGTTGGTTGCTTGATACCAACCAACTGGTTGGTATCAAGGGAGGGGGGTGTACGACTCTGCCACATCCTTACTCTAGAAATCTTACGAAAAAGAATATTGAAGGCTATGCTGGGAGTCCCTTCCATATATTCCAGCAACCAATTATTTATAGACGCGAACGTAATGTATATCACAAAGTTGTGTGCAAAATACATATTAATGCTTTATAGAGATAAAAAAAGTAGTATACAAACCGTTAATCATATCCACAAGACTAGAAATGAACTCAAGATACACTTACCACACTTACCAGTAGCCTTGAAAAGTTTCCGGCATTCTCGTCCTTCCAAGAAAAAACTTAAAAAAATGGTTGATTTCTTCTGAGAGACACAATCCATCCTACTATTTTCCCAGAAAATATATAAACTCAATGAGTAAATATAAGAGTACTTATAATGTGTGTATGTATATACGTTTGTTTTGTGAGTATATATGTGTATATGTGTGCGTATATATGCGTAAATACAGATAAAAATTAACAACGTCAATTCGTTGGTACTTGGTGATTGACCCTTTACCCAGTCACTGAAAGTTTGAAATTACTCCAAATGTAAAGAAAGCTAAAACACTTCAAAAACAGGCTTTCCCCAGCTTTTTTGAGGTTCCCTACGTTTATTTTTCCATACTCTTCATTTGTTTATATTGTAGTTCTGTACTTTTGTCTAAACTGTAAATATTGTAGTTCTGTATTTTATTTGAATTTGTTAAAGTTGTTGGGCTACAATAGGGATAAACTACCATGTCTAACAGACCTTCTTACAGGTCACTGTCATTTGATTCATCATATGCAGAGACTCGGACTGCCTCTGGAAAATGGTGAAACAGCAGAGCACATACTTTGTGCCTGCCCCGCAGGTTTTTAGAGTCCGGCAGAGCTGTACTCTTACTATCTAACGTGAAAGACCTCTCACCACACTCACGAGTGTGAATAGTTGTGAGCCACAATAAACCCTTGCGTGTTGTGGTGGACGGTCGAATAGACCCACTCACTTTGGACCTGACCGAACCTAACCTAGACCACTAGGATATAAAAACATCAAGCATAGTACTCACCGGTGTAGTTATGTAATACTAGCAGAGTTAGGCCACTAGGATATGAAAACACTAACATAGTAGTAACATTCAGTCATAATGATCTCCTGAAGACGCTAACTTGGTTAGCGAAACGTGCGTCGAGAGACCATAATTTTTTGTTCTGGTTCAATAGATTGAAAAACTAATGTTCAATCTAGTTGCTTGCTGGTAGTGAAAACTGCTTTTGAATACGTTTGAAAAATATATAAATCCACTGTAGATGAAGAAAAAATCGCACAAGAGGAGCGTCGTGTTTTTTCTGGGGTTATTTAAGGATATATTGAAGATAGAAAAACACTTTCTCATTGCAACGTTTCAAGCTATACAAAATGGCGTTTACCGATTTTGAGTCTGACGTTTCGTCTCCGAGAAACCATCTCCAATTTTAATTTTTTATATAGACTGGAAAAAAAAATCACCTGGTTTGAGTTAGCCATTGTAATACCATAATCGCCTAATTAGTACTTTTTTGAATGTCATTTTTGCATCTGAACTAACAAGTTAGCAACTTTTTATTTCGCATTTGTGAATATCCTACCTTTCCTGATAAAAGAAGTCCTAGTCTATCCGTTCTCGTTAAATTTTGAACAGCATAAGCCTCACCAGCATGTAGTGACATTATCTGGGCGAAATCTGAGCTGACCATTCTTTTGAATTGTAACCTGGAAATCTGGAAAACACACCTGTCAAAAGATATCCACTCAAATTTGGGAGACATACCTATTTCAAAACGTATTTGGAAGTTATCTATTTCATATACATACATACAGTGTGTCAATTTCAAAACTTACAATGGGCTATATCTCACGAACGAAAGCTGGTATCGAAAAATGCTTGAAACAGTTTCTAGGATAGTGAGGGGAACTGAAGTGACATGAAAGAGAACTCACCCCCATCAGCCCCCTAGGCCCCACCAACCATAACTCAAAAAGTTTAAATTGCAAACCCTACATCATTGAAAAGACTATAAAAATGCTATTCAATGGTATAAATAATAATTGTACAGGGTGAAGCAATAATTGTGAAACTTTGGTTTGAATGGAATATTTAATGAGGTTTTTGTTGAACTACAAATTTATTAAAAATGTCAATTAAGAAAATTTTCAAAGTGGGTTCCGTTATTTTGTAAACAATAATACAGCCTATTGTCAAAGTCTGCACGAACTTTAATATCAGCCGGCTTACTATGACTCTCTTATTTGTAATGCTACCTCCCGGACTATTATTTTAAATAATAAGTGTCCGTCGATACTTTTTTTGTTAAATAAAAACTTGATTTGCCGTTTTTGCAAAACTAGTTGGAAAGATCTGTTTTTTGGGATCAATAATTTTTGGTTTGTTCGAGACTTTTAAATGTCATTAGTTTTCATCATATGTACGATCTGTACTGTCATTCAGCTGTAGTCACGATGGTTTACAGTAAACCTGGGCTCGTGGAGATAATTTTCATTCGGACAAAAATGTAAGTCACGTGTACGTCCGTGATTCAGTTGAAAAGTTTAAAGAAACGGGATCAGTGCAAAATAAAAAAGGAATGCCCCAAGATTACTGAATGAAGCAACCCAAATTGAGGTCCTTGGAAATTTTGTAACGGAGCCTACTGCATCAACACGTCAAGTATCTACAGTGACAGAACTTTCACATAAGTCGGTTAGAAAGGTGTTGAAATTACATGTTTCACCCGTACAAAATACAAATTCTTCAAGAACTAGGCGATGATGATCTAGACCGACGAATTGAGTTTTGTGAACTCATGAATGAAAGAATTCGCGTTGAACCAAGAACGTTAAAAAACATTTGTTTCAGTGATGAATGTACTTTTATGCTGAATGGTAATGTAAATAAACAAAACTGTCGGTACTGAAGTGATGCGAATCCGCATCGATTCAGAAAATGTCACACTCAATATCCTGAAAAACTGAATGTTTGGGCAGGAATATTAGACGATGCTATAATCGGTCCCCTGTTCATACCAGGCAATTTAAGTGTCGACATTCATCTCGATATGCTGGAAAACACCATCGAACCTTTAATTGTGCATGAATTAGAGAACCAAAGGACGACCAAGGCAACCTAGCCGTGGACGAAGATTTGCTGCACTTCCAACAAGATGGAGCACCTCCTCACTATGCAGCTCCAGTTGGGCGCGCACTGGTTGGATACTAATTATCCGAAAAAATGGATTGGAAGGAGAGGTCCCATTGAGTGGCCACTGAGGTCACCAGACTTGGCGCCACCTGAGTTTTTTTTGTGGGGTCACCTCAAGTCAGTTGTTTATGAAACTCAACCTGCGCCACTTGGGAATTGCGAGAAAGAATTACGCAAGCATGTCGCGCCATTACTAGAACAACATTTGCCAAAATTCCTGCAGAATTTGAAAATAGGCTGTATTATTGTTTACAAAACAACAGAACCCACTTCGAACATTTACTCAATTGACATTTTTAATAAATTTGCAGTTCAACAAAAACCTCATTAAATATTCCATTCAAGCCAAAGTTTCACAATTATTGCTTCACCCTGTACAATTATTATTCATACCATTAGATAGCATTTTTATAGTATTTTCAATGATGTATCAGAAGTAGGGGTTTGTAATTTAAACTTTTTTGAGTTTTGGTGGTAGGGGCCTAGGGGGTTGATGGGGGTGAGGTCTCTTTTATGTCACTTTAGTTCCCCCTTACTATCCTAGAACCGGTTTCAAGAATTTTTCGATATCAGCTTTCGTTCGTGAGATATAGCCCATTGTAAGTTTTAAAATTGACCCACTGTATGTGGATTATTGCATTTTTGTCTCAATGAATGATTTACGTATGTGTCACTAACTTTAAAAGGTTCGAAAAGCGTGTGATATGCCTCTTCTAGCTCAGGATCGAACTTAACAGGTCTAAGTTGATATAGTATGTGGAAAACCTGAGCCATGTTCATCAACATGAACGCAAAATTCCACGTGAAGACGTCGGGTGCGCAAATGATGTTCCATGCCCACGTGGAGAACAATAAGAGACCTGGAAAACACCAGCGGTATCATTCCGAATAACAGCAAGCAACTGAATTACCAAATATCAACCAGCAGTGCATAAAAAGAACTCCTCTCTTCGAGCATGTTGAAGAATAAGCAAGGACAAAGCAAAAGTTTGCCAGTTGGTACAGAATATGCTGAGGGTCTTTCCAATAGTCACACCAAGGCCACCATGTTCCTAGAAGACAAAAACCAGTATACAATTTGAATGGAAAACTGGGAAATTGCGAATGTAATTGAAACTGAGTTTAAAGTCTTAGTCTTGGACTGTTCTAAGTGGAACCAATAGTTCCCCAACAGTGTCATACGACCAATGGGAGAGAATGTTCAATAACTCATGGGTATCTTAATGAAAAATTTTCGAAATATCAAGTTCAACAGTACTGATGGGATCCCACATTTTCCTTTAAAGAAGGTTTTTCACAACCTTATCAAACCATTATTATGCTTAGTAGATTTGTCATTTTATAATGGGGTCTTCCGTGATAATCTGAAATTGAGCCATGAACATAGAGGTGCCGTGATTGAAACAAATCGCCGTCTATGATGTCTTGAAAAACTTTCACAAAATGACTATTTTGAAGCCTCATCAATACCGATGGCAATAATTTTTGTCTCCATTATTTGACGGTTTTGCCGATATGGCACAGGGTTCCTTCCTGGGGCCAATTCTATGGATGATATGACCCTCAGTTTTCAATCCAATACAAATCTAACAAAACCATAGTGGATATTCACTTGTGGTTATCTGAAATATAGTATATGAGGTTTCAAAAAAAAGGTATCAAAAACGAGTATTAATCTAACCGTTGACACTGACAAATGCTTCTCAATTTCAAAATTCCAGATTCAATTTCTTGGTCCTAACATAGATGGCAGTGTCAATTGAAATGTCTACTGTAACCCCTTGGTTTCCAACTCCATTTGATGAATTTTATGGTGAAAAATAGTTTTCACTAAAAACCAGATATCAATATGTATATTACGGACAAGTAGACGCAGCTAAAACGAGAAATTTGCTTTTGGGGTTTGCACTCTTTTGATGTATTCGATATTCAGTAGCGTATCAGAATTTTCAAGGGAACTGATCCTTATGTAGAAAAATGAAAGAATTTTAGTATTCTATATATCTCCTATTCCTTATTTGATTAGGTTTATTAGGATTGAGATTATGGTCATTGGTGAATTTTATAATGATGCCATAAGAGGTGGAGCTGAATGTATATCTGCGAAAAATATGTAATGTAATGGATTTTTTTTGGAGAAATAGTCACGGTTTCTTAAGAAGGATTTAACTAAAATTTCATTCACAGAAAAAAATCTTAGTTTTTTAGGATTCGTATAGATTCGTTTTCTCTATTGGACAATATTTTCATTCGATATTTGCATCGATTGTTCCCAAAAATGAATTGTTTTTTCAACTCAGGGTTTGATTATTACAAAATGTGATATTTGTTTCACTCGAAAAACTGCTAACTATTACGCTGTATTATGAAAAGTCTCAATATCAAACGTCCTTGTCAGTTGTGGTACCTCATCACCCTGTATTCAAAATCAAGCAATATTCAACTTTGAATGAATAATATTTACCTGATGGTATGATATACGAAGTATTTCTGTCTAGACCTGGCCATGAGAAGTTAACCCCGGGGGCAACAAACAGGGTGTGTGGTTTTTCTTCATTCGGCTGAAGTCCACTTTCTGCAAGCGAAGGCATTTTTCAGTTCATCTTTCACAACCACATAGTAATATATTCTTTGTATATACACTAACCATATAATTGTGCCGGAGACAGGAATTCAAAAATCAATAAACGAGCTCGCATTGGACGGCGAATAGTTTTCTACCCGTGAGGCCCGGGATGATTCCTGATTCGTCAAGTAGATGGCGGTACGTGCGTTGTTCAAGAAGGAGAAGATATACTCAATGGACAGTAGAAACAGATGAGATGAATTTTTTGACTTTTTAGGCAAATAATAAATTTATTGCCCATCAAAGTTATAAAATAACAACAAAAAAAAATACAGAAGATAGAAAAATAAATACACTTTGTATTTGATGTGCAAATGGCTGTTGGTTCATATCGCGAATTTGCATTCGCATCTGTTCTTCCACCAATGCTGAAAATGCTATTGTGGCTTGAAGAGAAGAAAAGAAGAAAGAAAAAAAGAACAGAGGAGGTAATATATACATATAGAGATATATGAATAGCTAAAACCTTTTTCAGGATTCTCGCCGCGGATCTAGTTATTCTGAATGCTGAACAGATGCTAAACATACTTTTTAAAACAGTTTCTGACATGTTAAAACAATTGTTTTTCCATTTATGGAGATAATTTATTGTGGAGGGGATATTATAGGAAAAAGATCACTTAAATATTTCCTTTTTATGTACAGGAATGTTAAGCACTGTCTTTTTACGCAAATTCAGGTTATGGACATCTGTTCTATAAGACAAATGTTCATATAAGTAGGGAGGATTCCTATATTTGATTATTTTGAAGAATATGCATGTTGCATGAAAACGTCTATGATTAAACATTTTCAACCACTTCAAATCTGCTGATTTGTGCGAAATTCTGGACCTTCTTCTAATACCAAATATTAACTGTATGCAAGAGTTTTGAACTTTTTGTATGCGACATTTGTCGTTCTTGTCTAAACATGAATGATAAACAGCGTCACAGTGGTTGAAAGGAGATAAAACTAATGAATCACATAGCAATTTCTTGACATCTAGGTACATCCAAATATTGTCTATGGGGATATATGAGTTTCAATGATGAATAAGCAATTATAAATTTGTAGGTTACATATTCATGTTATCTGAAGATTTGAAAAATAAATATATTTGAAAGTCATCTGCATGAAGGTGATATTTACTGTTTATGAATCATTTCATGTGAAGGAGTGTAAATGATTTGTTTGTACAGAGTGAGCCAAATTGGACACTTTTAAAGGGAATCTCCTGGTTTCAAACTACATGGATGAAAACTGATGGCTGTGTCAGAGAGTAAAATTTTATGACAAACTCAATGGTGAAAACTGTATATCGATATATATCATCGTTTCTGAGTTACAGCATGTTCTTCGAAAAATGCGCATTTTCGAAAAGTTGCTGTAACTTTTTCCTGTGAAATATTTCACTATTAACTTTGTCATAAAATTTTACACCCGATCACAGCCATCAGTTTTCATGTAAATAGGTTGAAAACAGAAGTTTTCCTTTGGAAGTGTCCAATTTGGTCCACTCTGTACAAGTTTTTCACAGGAGGACGACAAGATTTGAATTACGATTCTTGCTTTGCATGCCCCGGCACATCAACAACCGATGAAAATGTTGAGAAAGTGATAAAAATTGTTATGCAGAATTACTATAAGAAAAGTTGCTGAGGATATAGGCACATCGGATGGCTAATGTCTTGCAATTTTATGGAAATTTTGGCTATGAAGCGTGTAGCAGGTCAACTTTAATTTGTCAAAATGTGGAAGGTAAAAATATCCAAAAAAGGTAGTCAATCAATCAATCAAATATACTTTATTGTCTGAAGAACTACATCTTGTAAACAAAGTCATAAATAATATGTAAGACACAAAAATCTACATAAAAAAACATACACAATTCAAACAAAATACAATAAACATAAGCTGAAAATGTGAATATTGGTGGATTTGAATACTGTTCTGCAAGTTTGGTTATAATTCAAGTTGTTGATTCCTCTTATTATTTTTTTAACTATGAAGATTTTTTCGATATTTCGATTGCTACCACAAAAAATAATTCCGTATCGAGCAACCGATTTGAAGTTAGCCTTGCATATTGTTTTTATAGCCTCGTTGTGAAGATATTTTGATGTAACTCTAATTCCGTACGACATTCCACTTAGTTTGTTTGCGAGGTTATCAATATGAGAAGTCCAATTCATGTTCTGGTCTATGTGGATTCCTAAAAATTTGGTGTTGTGGGACAGTTCAAAAGAAGAGTTTTGAAGGTCCAGCCTAACTGGATAATCAATGTTGTCTTGGTTTGTTCTAAACAAAATCATATGTGTCTTTGATTCATTTAGTACAAGTTGATTTTTATTGAACCAGTCCTTAGTTTTGTAGAATAGATCTGTACTATTTACCATCATCTCTGAGAAGGTTTCACCACCTGATAACAGACTTGTGTCATCTGCGAAGATAGTTTTGAACTGACGTTGGTTCAGGTTTAGATTCAAATAATTGACGAACAAAAGAGGGCCGGCAATGCTCCCCTGCGGAATTCCCACGTCTGTGGGAAGGATTTTGGATTTATAGACTCTTCCATTTCGTTTTATTCCTACAGATTTATGCGAGGAGACTGAGGTTGATGATGATGTTTAAATCCTCACCGTGATCAAATTACATTTATGGTTCTCTCCCAGAATGAATATTTTGAATGATCCGGCCTTGGACAAAAAAAAATATGTGCTAGGATTGTTCATTGATTTTTCACGTGCGTTTGATTGTGTTAATCACAGCCTCTTGCCGGAAAAACTCTCGAGATATGGGGTGAGAGGACTGCCATTCAATTTATTGACCTCCTATCTTAAAAATAGGAGACAAATAGTGAAAATTGGGGGGAATATAAGTCGCTAACGGTGTGCCTCAGGGATCCATTTTGGGACCTTTTCTGTATTTAGTATTTGCAAACGATCTATTAGTGTATCTAAATGGAAATTCTGCCACTCACTGTATATGTTACGCTGATGACACGAATATACTGGTTATTGAAGATGACCTAAACACTGTTCTAAATATAGCTGAAAGCACTTTCGGTAGAGTTTTCACTTGGTGTGAAAAAAACAATTTGATAATGAATAAAACAAAAACTAGTATGTTGAAATTCATGGTACCACGACAACACCATGAGGTGAGTCTATACCAGGATACCGAATTATAATTGGCTCTCACAACAACAACTAAATTGTTAGGAGTTACCTTTGATAACAACTTGCAATGGAAGCCACAAGTAGATAATTTGTGTGAAAAGCTCAGAAATTGCTGTTATTCTCTCAGGTATCTCTCCACTCACTGCAGTTAAGAGACTCTACTTACGCTTTATTATGCGAATTTTAATTCTCACCTCAGGTATGGAATACTCAACTGGGACATAAGCTCCTCTGTGGATCGAGTGTTCATAATACAGAAGTATGCAGTAAGGATCATTGCTTAGTTAGGATTTAGGGAGTCCTGTAGGGGAGCATTTTAAGTGAATATTATAAGTGATTTGTCAATAATTGTTTCAAATAGAATAAATACGACAGACGTGGGACATATTAATAATATTTGGCTCTCGTGTATTTTAAACAAATACACGTGTATTCAGCAAATATGAGAATTGTTTGTTGTATCGCATTTTGACATTTATTAAATACACCTATGCAAATACAGATATGTTCTTAATTAAATCTGCTCAATCGACCAATTATTTCTGCAATTTCCTATCTAATTTTGTCAGAGCAAGCTTGATCAATACTTGACGAGTATCATCGTTGAAATTTCATGGTAAAATCACTGGCAAATATCAATGAAACAGATTTTGTTTCTCACGTGTGTTAACTGTTCAAATTTTCATTAACTTCTCTAATGGGTTGCAATACATCCCAATTTTCACTAAAAAATCATATTCTCGAGAATGATTGCTTCAGTTGCGGTAATTTTAATTCCGTTTCACAAGAAGACGATTTAGGTAACTCTTTTCGAGAAAAAAATCTATTTATTTCAATACTCTCAAGCAATCAACGTGAATTTTTCAAGTTGAGTTGAGGCCAACTTCATTTCACAGAAAATCATGAATTACAATTCTCCAAAAGGATATGAGAACCGATCAAATTTCATTTTATGTTTATTACAACTCAGTTTACGTAAATATTTCGTGAACGACCTAACTCAAAAATTACTTTGTAGATCCATATTCTTATTCGTTGTTTAACTCATGTCCCATTGCAAAATTCAGTACCAGAATAAAGATGAAAATTATGGAAAACATCTGAAGCAAACAAGAAAGGAATGACGTTCAAAATAAATTCTTTACAAAGATCTCTTTGCGTACAGTCATCGTGACATGAGTAGATTTAACTCTTCCATGACATAAAGACAATTTCATACTCTGTACATTGATGCTGTTTTTTTTTCCAAAATTATTGTTTTAGCTTATTATGTCGTTAATCGATTTTTTGCCAACTTTTCTCTATGAACCAAAGCACTGCGAAAAAGCCCGAAAAATTAATCAGGCCTATGGCAAGAATAGTGTTAAAGAACGCACTGTTCAACGTTGGTTTGCAAAATTTCGTTCCGGAAATTTCAACCTCGAAAATGAGCCACGAAGTGGCTCTTTTACGGAAGCTCAGTAGATACAGTATAACTGGAATAAGTCTTAAGTGGTTTGAGTCATACTTAGCAGATCGCACCCAGATGGTCAAAATCACTTCATACTCAAATGAAAGTAAAAGTTACCTGCGGCATTCCACAAGGTTCGATACTGGGCCCACTTTTATTCTTAATTTATAATAATGACTATTAATGACAACTGTCTCAAAATTTTCAATCACCTTCCTCAAGCTATAAGAACCATAAATTAGCGCTCTTAAGAAAAAGTTGAACGACTTGCTTTCTGTAAGACCTTATTATAGCGTAGCAGAATTCTACGACGATAATTTTAATTAAGTATGACTAACTTAATTAAGTATGACTAACTATCTACGAAATTTCATTGATTTGATTCAATTTAGTTTAAATTGATTTATTTTATTT